CCGGGGTGGACCCGGTGTGGGTGCTGGAGGCCCGGACGGTGCGCGGGGCGCTGCGCGGGGCCCCCTCCGCCTGGCTGGTCCAGTTCTACTCCTCCGCCTGCGGGCACTGCGCGGCTTTTGCGCCCACCTGGAGGGCCCTGGCCGGGGACGTCCGGGGTAAGTGGGCTCCGGGATCCCGGCGTGCCCCCCGGGAGGGCTCAGGGAGGCTCCTGATGGCCTCCCATCCCTGGGAGCGCCTTGGCATAAAATGGCATTTTTAATAGGGTGGGGAAAACGCATGGAAAAGGGTACAGTGGTGCTCTCGCTAGACGATGACAATCCGTTCCTCTGAAATTGCTGTCTGGCGAAATCGTCGTCTAGCGAAAAGCAAACTGTCGTCTAGCGAAAAGCAAATCGTCATCTAGCGAAAACCGATTTGCGAAGCAGGGACCAAACATTGTCCAGCGAAATTCCTCCAGAGGAATCACTGTTTTGCGAATCGCTATAGCGATCGCAAAAAGTCAATGTCTAGCGATAAAACTGTCATGTGGGGTAACTGTCTAGCGAGGCACCACTATGTTTTTTTCTGGGGTGTCATTTTCATGCATTCCTGTTAATGGGTGTGTTGCGCCCCGTCAAGGTGGATCCGACTCATGGGGGCCCTTATAGGGCTTTCAAGGTAAGTGGGGTATTTTATGGGGGGGTAGTTCAACCCCTTCTGCACCTCCCCTGAGTTTCCATGGCTGGGCAGGGATTCGAACCCAATGCTACGTGCTATTCGGGGAGAAACAGCAGCCGCCACTTGGGACTGTAGAACTGGAGCTTTTAAAGAGCTGCTTCTCAGATATTTTTGAAATGCTTCATCCCTCCTGTGATTTGCCCAAACCCAGCTCAGCATGTTCATCCCTTTCTGCAGGCCCGAAATATCGTAGGCTGATATTTCAGAACACCTGAAACGCCTCGCAGGGAGTCATTTGAAGAAGCCTTGAAGTTGGATAACTAGCCCTTCAGGTTTTTCACGTTCTGTTCCACTTTGTGTGGAGGAGGAAAAGTGGAACACTGAAAGATGCCTCGTGAGATTTCCAGCCCCATATACACGAATCCTGTAGCTGAATTATTTTTGATTTGTTAAATGGTGTTTTTTCTCCCTCTTACTTTCTATTTTTTTCATATTGATCCATGTCAAATGGTTTTTACGGCAGTTTTGTAGCATTTTAAAATTTGTGATTATTGTCTAGTTTTAATTCTGAGCTGCCTTAGGTCCCCTTTGGGTAAAAGAGTGGTACAGTGGGATCGCCATATCTGCAGGATCAGTACCGGCGGTTTTCACTTATCCACAGCCTGAAATGAAATAAATAAAACCCAGAAATGCATGTTCCCAAGGTGTATTATCAGGACTCACCACTAGATGGAACCAAAGAATATATAATTCTGAATAATATAATCAATATAAATAACTGCAACTACAAAATAACTGTGGCGAATCTCCCAGAAAATACTTTGTGAACCCTTTTGGGGGGGGTTGTGACCTCCCCCAGGTTGGGGAACCCATGCTCTAAACCATCAGCTCCCTTTGTTATGTGCCGAAGGTTAAGAACCACTGCTCTAAACCATCAGCTCCCTTTGTGATGTGCCATCAAGTTCCTTCCGACTTACAGTACTTTAATCGAGTTAAATCACCCAGACCCTCCCTTTTTTTCTGGGGTGTAAAAGCTTGTTTTTAATAGGGACCCGGACTTGGGACTTGGTACCACAGACTCGAACTCGGGACTTGGGGCCCGAAGGCTTGCCAACCGCCCTGGCTACAAGCACGGGCCACCTTCTTTTCTGCCCTTCTCGTGAAGGATGTTCTCTTCCTGCCTGCAAAACTACGCGCCTCGCAGCTGGTGCACTTGGGCGGGTTTTCGCCGGGCAGACCCCCTTTGCATTGTTCGAGGCGATCTGCTTGTGTTTGTGTTTTTTGTTGGTTCTCCTGATGGTAGTTGCGAGGCCGGGAGACAGGTGGGACAGAGGAACGGCGGAGGCCTCTGAATCATGAATGAGGCAGATCACCCACGGCCAGACATGTTGAGCTGGCGTTTGCTAGGATGATGATGTGGCCTGTGGCCCCATTGTGTGGGGGACATGAATGCTTCCCCATCTGCTCCGAATGGCGTCTGCTCCTCCTCCCCTCCGGCTGAGTTCTCAATATGTCCTGCACAAAGGCAGGACCCAGCAGGCGGCGAGCGGGGCCCGGCTTTCTTTCAGAGCGGAACAAAAGTCGAGAGGAGTTGACCTCCCTGCAGCCGGGCCGGCCCCCGTTTGGGAAGGGTTGTCTCTTTGGCGCTGCAGACGGGACGGGCTGTTTCCCCCCTGGCAAAAGGGCGTTGCTTGTTGAACAGTCGGAATCCTGCTCCCAATTGGCGTTTGCGTAAGAAAATGGTGCAAGGGTTTCTGCCCAATCACTCCTTGGGATCTGTCCCCAAAGTCTGAGTTCTGCTCTTTATAATAACCTTCAAGCAGCAGCGTTAGAAGGGATCCTATAGATCATCCAGTCCAGCCTCTGTCAGGGAGGCTCAGTGGGGGAATCGAACCCCCAACCTCTGCCTCCAGAGACACAAACCCCTGAGCTCTCCAGCCAGCTAAATGACTGAACCCTAATTTGGATGTTTCACATCATCCTTTTAGAACGGCAGAGCTAGAAGGGGACCCTGTGGGTCATCCAGCCAAGCCCCTCTCGGGGAGGCCCGGTGGAGGGATCGAACTCCCAACCCTTCGCTCCTGTGCCAGAGACCTAAGACATGCATAAGTCCTGTCTTTTGGGAACACCAGGCGGGAATGTGCAGTTGCTATCCTAAAATCCTAAAGGACACCCTCGTCTCTTTCCTTTCAGCCTGGGAACCTGCTATAAAGATCGGAGTCCTGGATTGTGGGGACGAACACAACTATGAGACGTGCAAAGAATATGGAATCCAGTATTATCCCACTTTCAGGGTGAGCGTTCTCTGAGTACATCCAAACCTAGATTCTTGATATTACTGGTTTTGAACCCGGAACTCCCTGCCGGGACTGTTTTCGCTCTTCTCTCACAAGCTGAGAGGATGATGGCCTTAGTCACATGCTGGGAATTAAGGTTTGCAGGAGTTAACCGTTCTGCCTTAGTGGCTTGGCAGAATGAATGGATGGAGTCTCAGCAGGGGAATGGGGGTTTTCTTGTCTCCCCACGAGAATGTTGAAATCATAAAAGGATCCATTTTTTCCTTTTTTATCATGTGCTTCCTATAACCAGCAGGCTGGCCGCATCGTTTTGAAGCAGCTGGAGTTTCTAAACACCCGTCAAGGGCAGCCCCATGTAGAGCATGTTGCAGTAGTCCAGACGGGGTGTCTCTCTAGGGGATGGGTCACCTTGGCTAAATCATATATCTTAGGGGTTCACAGACTTGCTCCTGATTTTCTATGTGCCTGGGATCGAAATAGAGCAGTAAAAAAAGAGAAAGGGAACCATCCATGATGATTTAAACTCTGTTTATCAGGCCACCCCCCCAATTAGTCTGAAAGGTTGAAAAAAAATTCTGTGTGAAATGCCATGTGTCCATTTCTCCTGTTCTTTTGCAAAATAGAAGGCAGGGAGCAGGGTGGGTGCATTCGCAGTTTCAAAACAGCTGATAAAATGGTTTGACTTTCACGTTGGTTAAACCTCTCTTTAAGGAGCGATTGCTGGTTCTTTAAAATATCTTTGAAGCCAATGGGCCTGTCTTGGTAAAAAAAAAAAAATCACGTTTGAACGTTTCCGGAGCTGACAAAATACCCCTATCAAAGACACGTCCTTAAAAAGGCAAGCCCGCCCACCCAAAAACATTTCCATAAATATAATTTAAAAGAAAATTCTAATATTCTTGGCTCACCGTCTTAGGCTGACTGCTCGTATAAATGTAATCTTGGGAAGCTGGGATAGTATGGTGGGCATGAACCAGGGAAATAAATCAGTCCTTTGTACACTGATCCTAACGCATGATGGATTACATGCTGTAAATCCGTTGTCCTTGATGGAGACAAGAGCCGCTTTACGCCCCCCAGCGTTGTGGCTACTGGGTGAGGGTTTGGGGTGCTGTATTTTAGCAGACCGTTGTAATTATCTTAGACGTTGTGACTTCACGGTGTGGCTTTATGGAGATGGTTAAGCATCCTGAGCTGCTTTAGAAGAGTCGAAAATAAGGAAGATAGCCAAGTAATATACGGGAAGCAGGACTAAGGGGACCTCTTCAAGTCAGCCCTGGTAGGATCACCACCATTGTTGATCGGGAGTTGTAATCTGTACATTAAAACGTTCAAACTTTCCTTTTAAAAAAAAAGCCAAACCAGATTAAGCATTAGCCGAGTGTAAAAGGACTTCACGTTACTACAGGCGGTGATGAATTTTCTCAACAAATAATGTTTTCTTCTTCCCACTTCCAGTATTTCAGAGCTTTTACCCAACAGTTTACAACTGGAGAAAACCAGCATGGTAAGATAATTCCCTAGAAAACGTGTGTTTCTCCCCCCCCCAAAGCATCAATGCTCGTATCGCTCATCGTGGCTGTCTTTTCATAGTACTAACAAAAAGAATTGTGTCGGTTATGGATATTGTCACAAAGAGCATCATGTTTTAAAATTTAAGTGCTAACACTTCCGATCAGTCGAGCCACCCTAATAATTTAGTCCAGAGTGCAGGACACATCATCATGGGCTCATGCGACAAGAAGCCAGATTTAGGCTGAATATTAGGAAATACTTCCTAACTGTTAGAGCAGTACGACAAGGGAACCCATGGCCTCGGGAGGTGGTGAGCATTCCAGTGCTGGAGTTACTTAAGAGAAAAATGGATCACCATCTATCAAATGTGCTTTGACTTGGATTTCCTGCCTTGAGCAGGAAGTTGGACTCGGTTTGGAAGTGTCTTCCAACTCCGTTATTCTCGAAATACTGCTTACTGTGTACTGTGTTCGACATGAGATGGGCACAAACTTCCAAACCGGCGGTTCGTGCTGGTTCGTTTCTCAGCCAAACGCATGTTCGATGCTTCCCTGCCCTGCCTCCTCTGTGTGTTGCCCCTAAGTGGGTGCCCGCCAGAGGAGGCAGGGCTGGGAAGCACCGAACAGGTGTTCGGCTGAGAAACGAACCGCTGAACTGGCAGTTCTTGCCCATCTCTTCTCTGGAGTATCAGCCCTACACGCTTTGCGCTGGAACTTTCCAACGGAAGAAGGAGCCTTATGAGTGGATCGCTGCGTTTGAGAGCGGTGAAGAAATGGTTTAGAAAATTCACCTAGAAGGGTGTTCTCTGTCTTTAGCAGGCCAAGATCGGGAGCTTGAGACGTTCCGTCAGACCATGATCGACTTTCTACAGAACCATTCCCGAGAAGCCAAACCCCCTGGTTGCCCGCCTTTGGAACCGATGCAGTGAGTTTACCCAAAGACTTAAAGTTTATTCCTAAATAACGAACAAATTTGCTTTTTGGGTTTGCCCCGTTATGGATCGTTTTGCATCATCCATTGCAGAATGAAGCACCCATAGCGAAGCCTCCTGCATGAATATTATGCAATCTTGGTTTCAAAGCAGGTTCTGATTAGGGATGGGCATAATCCAATGGTTCAGCAGAAGACACTTCAAGAAACAGTATATTGCTGAGCTGATTGTATTCTTACACACCCATAGTTAATTTCTCCAAGCCTTTTAAATTGGTGCAGGCCTTTCCATTGCTATGGGGCGTCCATCAGTTTTGAAAGAAAACCTGCCTTTTCCCCTACCTCTGCCCTATATATGACTTTAGTTCTTTTCTCAACAGGCCAGAAAAAATATCTTATTTTTTTCAAGAAAAGGTTCCGCATTATACGGCCATTATTTTTGAGAATGAAAACTCCTACGTTGGTCGAGAGGTATGGGGAGCTATGGAAATGTCCTACTTTTCTGTAATCAGTATGTCTTGGTGTATTCTTATGTGCTCAGTCTTACTAAGGGGAGAGGGGGCACCTTAAAAGAAATCAAATAAAATTTAGGTGCTAAATCATGCTGCGCGCCAACGATGGTGGCTATGCCAGCAAGCGCACAGCGGGAGAATTTGTGTGTAACACAGGCGGATAGGTTTTGTTTTTGCTCTGGAGCAGCATCATTAACGTGGGTATGTCTTCTCTCCTCCAGGTGATCTTGGACCTGAGCCAGTATGAATACATCGTGGTAAAGCGAGTCCTGGATTCCGATCCTGCTTTTCTTCAGAAATTTAATATTACCTCTCTCCCTTCCTCTTACTTGATCTACCCAAATGGATCCCACGGATTAATTCGTGTGTAAGTATTAGTGGATGTGAGGTTTTTAGGCGCCGAACCTTCAGTTAAGATTGAGAGCATTTGTCTTAATTTTTAATTTGGTTCGAACTTTCCCGGTCTTTTATGTAATGCACGGAAATGACACTTAGGCATGGATATGGAGTTCACTGGAAAGCTGAGAGATTGGCAAACCTTTGGGTCGGAGTCTCGGGTCGGAGTCCTAGACTTTGTACCAAGTCCCAAGTCTGAGATTGAGTCAGAACTTGAGTTATAAATCAGTTGATCACTGCAGTGTACAGTATGCAATAGAGGCCGGTTGTTCACACCCGTCTCTAGTCCTAAGTATTCTAGTACTCTAGTACAGCTGTATAATCAATTTTTTTAAAAAGAGGAAGAGGTTCACTCCCTGCACAAACGAACAGCACGTAGGACACACAGTGGCCGCATTTGTCAATTAAATGTGGTTAATATGTGTGATGAACGTTCTCGTTGTGAACCGTGTCCGTTGAAGTTTCAGACGGTTGTGTGTAATGCAGTTGTAAATGTGTAAAAATTGTGAGGCTCAGGATGAGGTCTTTTACGACACCTTTAAACAAACTGTTATTCTTCTCTGTTTGCTTTGCTTGAGCAAATTTTTAAACTTTATGCTGTCTTCCCTCCCACGTACAGTTTGAAGCCTCTCCGGTCGGACTTTTCTTCCTATTTAAAGTCGCTTCCTGGCGTGAGAAGGAGACTTTCTTCATCGCCACTCCCATCTCCTCTCCGACAGACCAGAGAAGAAAACGTCATTTTCAAAGAACTGAAAGATTATGATAAGTAAGCCAACCGGGGCCCTTATTCTGCTGGGATGTCTTGCTTGTTTTACAGGATGTGTGGCTTTGTGTTGTTGTGTGATTTTAAATGATTGTTCGCTGCACAGATTGCATGGACACTAGAAAGACACAATACAGCAAGATACACGTATCCGTGGGGGATTAGCTCCAAGCCCCTCATGGATGCTGAAAAATGCGGGTCATAGCGAACACTATTTTAATAGTGAACACTGAACATGGTCTCTGGCTCCTTCTGGTGGCCAGTTCTGGTAACTTCATCTTGAGAAATCTGTATTTCTAGGATTTTTCTTTTAATAGTTTTAATATTTTAGGACCATGGGTAAGTAAAATCAGCAGATACTGATCCTGTGAATAAGGGGGTCTTACTGGATAAATGAACACTTATGTGTCTGGAAAGAGCTTATGCAGAAGCTGTTTCCTCTCTATTAAAAAAAAGAGGCCAGGAGTAGATTATGGCACTGACCAGCAGCTGTTAATATAAAACATTAGAATAAAACTGAAGAAGAACACTAAAAGAATCATAGTGCCAAAACAGAACCACTGCTGTAGGTGCTGCTCAGCTGGCCTTTCTCCTGGAAAGCTCGGATCCCCAATCCCAGGCTTCACAGCCATTCACCCCAACCCATTAAGCTCCTCTGACCTAGCTGTAAAAAGATGCTAAGAATAAATCTCTGATTTATTGTACGAACTACAAGGAAAAGGGGGGAAAGCCAACACGGCAACTTTTAAGCTGTGTGTCTTTTTTAAAAAAAAATCTCTCTTTTTTTCCAGATCTAAGCTGTATATGGCAGACCTTGAATCAGGGTTGCATTACATGCTCCGAGTAGAACTCGCCACGCACCAAACTCTTGAGGGCGATGAACTTAAAACCTTCAAGAATGTTGTGACACTCCTTGCTAAGGTTAGCTTTATTTTTTTCCCATCTGTATTTAGGAGAGTATCATAAAGCTAAGGAAGCCAAATACCCTGCCATATCTGTTCTATTTCTGTGCTTGGGGGCCCCGCTCCCCACTCTGCCAAGCTTTGTGGATCAGAAATATTTCAGTGTCAAAAGCGCTCGGCTGATGCCAGATTACAGGACGCCTTTACCCTGGAGTTATTTTCTAAAGAACGGCGGCTCGCCCTGTCCCTGGTTAAGTCGCTCGACTCCATTCCTGGTCGTCAGACTTGGGATTTTAGTTGTTAAGGGATTAATGTCTTGGCTGTTGATGCAGCTTGGCTGGGCATTATGGTCTTCTTAGCACCTCCTGAGACCCGCCCGTCTTCCATGCCCTCCCAAACACGGGTCACGGAGGTTTCGTTTCTCCTTCGGGCCCTTCTACCATCGCATTGCACCATGACTCGCACGAGGGCGATGGTGAAAGTGCATTGCCCAACCGCTTGTTGCCCGGTGCAACCTCTGGCACGTTTATGCCAGTATAACTTCACGTCATGCCAGCACAAGCAGGATTTTGCCCAGAGAGTGCTTTAAGGGCTGTGGGGCAGTCTGTAAGTGGCGCTTTTTGCTTTTCTATTCTCTTCTTTAATTGAATTATTCAGTATTCTTATTTCAGTCCCTACAGACCTCTGCCGCGATGCTTGTGGGATCCCATGTTTTCCCTAGCCAGTTGTTAAAAGTATTAAGCAGCCAAGAAGAAAAAGAGAAAAACATTATCTGTCGTGAGAATAAAGCTTTTCGATGGGCTGAACGTTCTTTTTTTTTTTTCCACACAGCTCTTCCCCGGCCGGCCATCGGTGATGAAGTTGCTGGAGACTTTACACATGTGGCTGGTGAGCCTCCCATTAGACCGAATCCCTTACAATGCTGTTCTTGATCTGCTCAGCAACAAAATGCGGGTAAGCCCTGGCACGTTTTCAGCATAAAAAGGCAGCTTTAGCAGCAGCAGAAGAAGAAGTGGGAGAGATCCTTTAATCCAAGTTGCGAAACTTAACTTGCCCTCGGAAGGCCGTGTCCGGCGAAGCAGGCTTTCGAGCCCGTAGGCGTCGTCTTCCTTCCGGAAATCTCCGCGGGACGGGGTCCCCGTTTGGGGTCCCTGATGGAGAACTGGCCTTCTGCACCTTCTACCTTTAAGGGCCGCATGACCCCGAGGGTCCCTTCCCGCTCTGAAGTTCAAAGGATGCTTAAGACTTTATGGTTCCAGGAAGCATCTTAGGTTTCCCATCTTACGTGTTTCCCGGAGTCCTCCATCATCTGAGGCTTTATGCGTATATTCATCTTACTTGTTTTATCGGGTGGCTGCAGAGAGTGTCAGCTTTATCTTTGTAAACCGCTTAGTGTCTGTATTGTTTATTTATTTACAAAGTAAGTAAGTCCATGTAGATGTTTGTGATTTTCCAGTATTCATAATTTACAAGGCCACCTCTTATCTGTAGCACTATCTTTTAAATACCTGAAAGGTGGTCCTAAAGAGGAGGGGCAGGATCCGTTCTCGATCAGCCCAGAGTGCAAGGCATGCAACGATGGGCTCAAGCGACAGGAAGCCAGATTAAAGCTGAATCTCAGGAAAAACTTCTTAACTGTTAGAGCAGTACAACAATGGAACCAATTACCACAGGAGGTGCTGAGCACTCCAACACTGGAGGCTTTAAAGAGAAAATGGGACATCCTTTGGTCAGATCTGTTTTGATTTGGATTCCTGAATTAAGCAGGGGTTTTGGACTTGATAGCCTTAGGGATCTTTCCAACTAATCATTCTAGGATTCTAGGATTATATCACAGCGTTTTATTTTCATACTTGTATTTTCTGCACTTCCTTCTGTGGACTTGGTCTGTAAAGGCAACTTACTTCTATTTAATTTAAAATAAACAAAATAAATAACTCTCATCTTTTCACACACACACACTTGCCAATTCTCTGGCACTTTCTTGGACTACTGTTTTAAAAACTCATCTATTTCCTAATACTATGGGGAAAGATTTATCAAGAGTAAGCTTAAGAATATTTAACTGCAATAATCAGGTACTGCAACCACTTACACCTGCCTTGACTTCACTCCTCTCTATGTGTTGTTTCCCTTGTGCTGCATTTTATTCTGTAAGCTCTTTGGGGAAAAACAAAACTTGCTCTTATCATAAATTATGTAAAGTGAGGGTCAAACAGGACACTAAATGGAATGTGTGTTGCCTGTAATTAACCATTTTTCCATGATTTCCTGAGAGGTGCATGCCCCAGCAATCAGATGCACAAATTAAGCCTGTGTTTCCCTGCAGACCAATCACAGAACAGGGCATGCTAGAATGCGAACTCCAAAGGTGAGAAAAGGGACAGGCAGTGACAGAGACTACCACTCAGGAGATCACTGCTTAGAAATAAAAGGCAAGTATATCCTCTAGCTGAGTGGTTGTCAAACATGGGGCCTCAGACGTTCTAGGATTGCAGTTCCCAGAAGCCTTCACCACTAGCTGCACTGGCCAGGATTTCTGGGACTTGTAGTCCAAGAACATCTGGGAATCCAAGGGTGGGGACCGCTGGTCTAGTTTGGGCCTCATGTCTTCTGAAAGTTATTTCAAATACACATCTTTGTGCAAACTTTCTGTGACCATTACTGCTGATCCTGCGATCCTATTTATATACATAATGTTCATCTTTTATCATTTATGTTCTTTGTAATTTTGTGCTTGGTTTAATGTATGTTTTAATACTGAAAACTGTATTAAGATTTTTAAGCATGATTCAGATATTAAAAAGAGGTGGGATTAGGTAGCAGTCATTCCTCTATTTGGGTGTTTTCATGTGAAGAACAAATGCTCATTTTATTCGCGAAGGCTTTTATGGCCAGGATCTAATGGTTGTTGTTGGTTTTTCGGGCTCTTTGACTGTGTTCTGAAGGTTGTTCTTCCTAACGTTTCGCCAGTCTCTGTGGCCGGCATCTTCAGAGGACAGCACTCTGTCAATCAGTACCAGAGCACAGAATGCGTAGAACTCGCCACGCACCAAACTCTTGAGGGCGATGAACTTAAAACCTTCAAGAATGTTGTGACACTCCTTGCTAAGGTTAGCTTTATTTTTTTCCCATCTGTATTTAGGAGAGTATCATAAAGCTAAGGAAGCCAAATACCCTGCCATATCTGTTCTATTTCTGTGCTTGGGGGCCCCGCTCCCCACTCTGCCAAGCTTTGTGGATCAGAAATATTTCAGTGTCAAAAGCGCTCGGCTGATGCCAGATTACAGGACGCCTTTACCCTGGAGTTATTTTCTAAAGAACGGCGGCTCGCCCTGTCCCTGGTTAAGTCGCTCGACTCCATTCCTGGTCGTCAGACTTGGGATTTTAGTTGTTAAGGGATTAATGTCTTGGCTGTTGATGCAGCTTGGCTGGGCATTATGGTCTTCTTAGCACCTCCTGAGACCCGCCCGTCTTCCATGCCCTCCCAAACACGGGTCACCGATGTTTCATTTCTCCTTCGGGCCCTTCTGCCATCGCATTGCACCGTGACTCGCACGAGGCCGATGGTGAAAGTGCATTGCCCAACCGCTTGTTGCCCGGTGCAACCTCTGGCACATTTATGCCCGTATAACTTCACATCATGCCAGCACGAGCAGGATTTTGCCCAGAGAGTGCTTTAAGGGCTGTGGGGCAGTCTGTAAGTGGCGCTTTTTGCTTTTCTATTCTCTTCTTTAATTGAATTATTCAGTATTCTTATTTCAGTCCCTACAGACCTCTGCCGCGATGCTTGTGGGATCCCATGTTTTCCCTAGCCAGTTGTTAAAAGTATTAAGCAGCCAAGAAGAAAAAGAGAAAAACATTATCTGTCGTGAGAATAAAGCTTTTCGATGGGCTGAACGTTCTTTTTTTTTTTTCCACACAGCTCTTCCCCGGCCGGCCATCGGTGATGAAGTTGCTGGAGACTTTACACATGTGGCTGGTGAGCCTCCCATTAGACCGAATCCCTTACAATGCTGTTCTTGATCTGCTCAGCAACAAAATGCGGGTAAGCCCTGGCACGTTTTCAGCATAAAAAGGCAGCTTTAGCAGCAGCAGAAGAAGAAGTGGGAGAGATCCTTTAATCCAAGTTGCGAAACTTAACTTGCCCTCGGAAGGCCGTGTCCGGCAAAGCAGCCTTCCGAGCCCGTCGGCGTCGTTTTCCTTCCGGAATTCTCCGTGGGACGGGGTCCCCGTTTGGGGTCCCTGATGGAGAACTGGCCTTCTGCACCTTCTGCCTTTAAGGGTTGCATGACCCCGAGGGTCCCTTCCCGCTCTGAAGTTCAAAGGATGCTTAAGACTTTATGGTTCCAGGAAGCATCTTAGGTTTCCCATCTTACGTGTTTCCCGGAGTCCTCCATCATCTGAGGCTTTATGCGTATATTCATCTTACTTGTTTTATCGGGTGGCTGCAGAGAGTGTCAGCTTTATCTTTGTAAACCGCTTAGTGTCTGTATTGTTTATTTATTTACAAAGTAAGTAAGTCCATGTAGATGTTTGTGATTTTCCAGTATTCATAATTTACAAGGCCACCTCTTATCTGTAGCACTATCTTTTAAATACCTGAAAGGTGGTCCTAAAGAGGAGGGGCAGGATCCGTTCTCGATCAGCCCAGAGTGCAAGGCATGCAACGATGGGCTCAAGCGACAGGAAGCCAGATTAAAGCTGAATCTCAGGAAAAACTTCTTAACTGTTAGAGCAGTACAACAAGGGAACCTGTGACCTTGGGGAGATGGTGAGCGCTCCCGATCCTGGAGGCCTGCAAGAGAAAATTGGACCACCCTCTGTCCGATCTGCTTGGATCTGAATTCCTGCCTTGAGCCAGGGGGTTGGACTGGATGGCCTTCAAGGCCCCCTTCCGACTCCATCATTCTAGGATTCTGTGATCTTTCTCAGAAGAATTTAAGTTTGAGTGAGTCTCAATGCATTGGTCTTCATACTGCGGTGTCCTTTAAACAGTTCATTCACTTTTCTAGATCTCCGGATTGTTCCTCACGAGCCGGGTCCAGTGGGTCGGTTGCCAGGGGAGCAAGCCGGAGCTGAGAGGGTACCCCTGCTCTTTCTGGAAGCTCTTCCACGCCCTAACAGTTCAAGCCGCAGTTCAACCCAAGGCCCTGCTCAATACAGGTAGGAGGCTTAACCCTAACCTAGACGTGTGGGGTGAGCGAGTGTCGGTGGGCAGGCTAGCTGTGTGGTGCCATAGGTCCCCCCCCCCCGTGCTGTTGATTCTTCCCCAGTTCTACTTTGGAGCAAGGTTGAAAGTTTAATGGCTGCTTCTTTGAATCCCGTGTTTGTGTGTGCGTCTCTCTCTTTCTGTGTCTTTCTGTGTGTCTTCAGCGCACTTTTATGATCCATTTAAAGCAAGCCATATTTCTGATGATCATTTCTTACGGCCAAAGAATTGGGTCAGCCAGCCTGAGGCGCCCGGATTATTTCTTAGGAGGGTTTTCTCTTCTCCTTGCCGGGCTTTTAAATCCCATCGACTAAAAAGGTCTAATCCTTGCAGCTGCAGGTGGGGTTTTAGAATTCTTGTCCACTTTAAAGATTAGGGTTACCCTGAATTTGTAGAGCAGTGGTGGATCGAAAAGAGAAAGGGGAGGATTACACAGAGTGGATGCGGCAGCTGTTTACGGAAGACGCAGCCTCGGATTGATCCCAGGAAAAAACACAGTGGACCTGAAGGGGTCGGCCTTCTTTTCTTTTAATTGACCGGCAGTTCTCAAACGCGTTTTCGCCGGCGATGTGAATTTCAACGAAAAGGGCCCTGGAATTTTAAATTGGTATTCTTTTGAGCTTTCTTTCCCAGGAAGTCCCTTTCGATATTCCTTTCTCAGGATGTTCCCTTTTATATTTCTTTCGGGGGGGAAAAGCCTGAGTATTTTATTGTTTAATCACACCTTTGCTAAAGGCAGGGAAGCTACAGGCATCTACACCTCTCTGAAAATAGCCATTTTCCCACGGTTCATGGAGGGGCACCATATACTGGAGTTTGCTATACGTATGCCTGCCTTTAAACAATTGCCAGATCCTAATGTTGTTGTATTTCAAAGTTGCAATGAGAGCAATCTCTGCAGATTCGCGTGCCTTCATCCCAACAATCCTGATGTAGACCCCATGTTCTTCAGAGCCGTTAGTGAGGCAAAGACGCCTTTTGCCAGACTGTGGGTGTACGGATGAAAGAGCCTTTATGATATTATGATATTTTATTTATATGCCGCCTTTCTCCCAACGAGGGACCCAAAGCGGCACATGATATGCGCGCGTGTATGTCTGCGCTGGCTGAACGTGATCCATGGCTCTTTGCAGGCTTCGAAGACAACCCTCAAGGGGTCCTCAGGATCATGCAACGATACATCCGCGATTTCTTTGGGTGCCGAGCGTGCGCGCAGCACTTTGAAGAGATGGCCAGAGAGTCCATGGATTCGGTGAAGACCTCGGATGGAGCCGTGCTTTGGCTCTGGGAGAAGCACAACGTGGTGAACGCCAGGCTGGCAGGTAAAAGCAAAACTGGGCGTGAGGTTGAGCCCATCGTAGACACAAAGATTTGGTTTCAGGTCTTTGTTACTCGATGCAGTCAGAGTCCCCCGTCCGCAGGAGCAGGACCCGCAGATTCACTTCTCCGCTGCCTTAAAAATACTAAATTTAAAAGAAAGGGTGAAGTCAGTGGCCTGTCACCCTTTTTAAAAAATCAAATGGAAACACAAGGTGGAAACAGGAACGAAACCTTTTGATCCTGCTTCGAGTGGCTTTTGACAAATTATTCGGTTGGGTTGCCCTGATTTCATCTGTCTGGGCCCAATTTATCTCATTTGTAGATAGCTTGTTTATGACGTGCGTGTGCAACACTTATAAAAAAATTCTCAAGGCAGGCTAAAATACAAGCTAAAGCCAATAATGAATAAACAGAATTATGCTTCAAAGAGCCTCAGATGAATAGATGTTGCAGACAGATGTGTCAGGGAAGTGTGTATTTCACAGTCTTTTGTGTTTAATACAAAAAAAACCTCCCACACGTCTCCCAAACTTACTTAGCCACAATATTGAGTCTTGTCTTTTACCTCCTGTAGGTGACCTGAGTGAAGATCCGGCATTTCCTAAGGTCCAGTGGCCAACTCCAGATATTTGCCCGACGTGCCACCAAAAAATTAACGGTCTGGACGCTTGGGACAAAGTCCAGGTGTTGCAGTTCTTGAAGGACCATTATGGGATGGGCAACATTCTGCACACTTACACACAAGAGCGAGCGGACCTGGACGAGAAAGAACTTCAAGAAGACCCAGGGATAGACTTTCAAAGCCAAGAACGCCGAAGGAGTGAGGACAAAATCCCAGATCCGGAGAAATTTTCAGACTCAAGGTCTCGTGCCTTGGGCCGATTGTTAGCCAAGGACGCCCCCGGGCCAGACCGAGGGAAGAAGGCCGTGGAGTCCAAGATCGAGCAGGACATGAAGCAGGCTGTATCGTTCCTGGGAATTGGGTTCTCAAACATCGACATGAGCCTGTGCATTGTCCTTTATGTCGCATCGTCGTTCTTTTTAATTATCATGTACTTTTTTTTCCGGGTGAGGTCAAAACGCTGGAAAGTGAGATATCGCCGCCCTTCCGTGTAGAACCTGAAGCCCCATTTCTGTCTTGCCAACGGCTTGGTTTGCGTTCAGATTCAATGTTGAGTATTTATTGATCAGGGATTTTTTTATAACGCGGTATTCCGTATCTTGAAGAGGTGCTGTTGTGTTACTGATTTTCTGGTTCACCAAGGTTGGGCATCCACTTTAGATGCAGCACAATTGGGCCATAGCAACCAAAGCACATGGGTGGGCGGGTATGTGCACAGATAAACATTTACCTAAGGAGCAGTAAAACGATGCTGGCGATTTTGCCATTGCGTGTTTTGGTCTGTAGAGCGAAAAATCTACATGGATTGATTTAACCAACAAGTTAGGAAGAAACCGGACGCTTTAAACAGCGTCCGTTGAATGAATGTGTGAATCGTTACGGAATGTGCTAGCCAGACAGATGCTGATATGATCTCAGTCCACCTAGAAATGGATCATGATGTGGCTGTCAGGTGACTCTTTGGCGGGATAAATCTTTTATCGAGAGAAAGGCGGCATATCAATAAAACAAACAAATACATAAACGCCTTGAAACTTGTAAGAAACAACCTTGGTTATTGGTACCTCCTCGTATTTGTGTTTTTCGGATCAGTGATTCAAACATAGTTTACTTTCTTTGTGAAGGACATCCGGTGGTTTTTTTTCCCCCCAAAGCACTAGTAGTAACAATCTAGGGTTGGGCTGAAGTTACCGCCGGAGAACGATGATCAATTTATAACTCCCATTTTGGAAAGTTCCCACAGCTCTGTTCCAAGAGGGTGCCGGATTGTCTACATCCTGGGTCTCCCCATGGAAACACACGCCCAATACTTAGATTATATCTCACACCCTGCACAAAAACTTTTTTTAGTGAACATGCAGTAAAAGCATAGAGAAATTTGCTCTCGACGCTTGCAGGAACAAAAGAATTTGCAAGACAGCCTCTTTAACGGAGATGGGCAGGGCAAGAAGCAGCCAGAAAGCTTGGAGACTACTGAAATAGCCCAAATGAAAACACACTGTAAGCTAATCATCATCGACTTAGAACTGCAGAACTGGAAGGGACCCTGTGAGATCATCAGGTCCAGCCTCTGTCCAGGAGGCTTCAAAGTGAAGTAGGAAGATTTTTTTTAAATTAATCAAGTGAAATGGGGCTACTTGGATGAAGGATGAATTTTCTGTGACTGGGGAGAAATTCCGTCCATGCAGCAAATTCATGTGCCTGCAGTTTACACCCTGCCATGTGGACAAAAGAAGATCCAGCAAATAACCAAGAGAACACTATGGAAAAAGCCCGCTTCTGGTCAAAAAACCAGTGCGTTTTAATTTGTTACTCATTTCCCCCATATTTCAAATATGTCCCTAATCTTAAATTGCGCAGTGCTCTGCTATGAATAAAGAACCAAAAGCTGGATTAGCTGCTTTGGGAATAGCCCCTGTCACCTTCCCAGTTTACTTCTTTTCCTTAAACCTCCTCCTGTCCCTTTTTTTAAATTTTGCTCTTTGGTGCCATCTTGTGTATTTTTACAATACTACTTCCAACTCTTGAGGGCAAGTCAAGACCATCATGGTGACCTCCTCCTGGCTCCACGCCCCCTTTATTAATTAAACAGGTAATAAAAAGAATCTTAGCACTGCAGAGCAGGAAGGGACCCTTTGAGTCACTGAGTCCGGTCCCTGTCAAGAAAGGCCCAGTGGGGGGAATCGAACCCCCAACCTCTGTCTCCCCCTAAACCACTGAGCTACGTGGCTCGCCTCCCACTATTTAGAAGTGGATGCTTCTCCCAGCAAATACCCAGAGGTAGACAGTGTCAGGAGCTGTATTTCCCCCCCAGCCAGCCAGTTGCTACCCTTGCTTTCCTTTAGGACTTGGGAACAGACCGTGGGGTTCAGAATCACTCAGATGTAACAGAAGACCCTGATGTTGGGAAAGTGTGAAGGCAAGAGAAGAAGGGGATGATAGAGGACGAGATGGCTGGACAGGGTCATCGAAGCGATCAACATGAATTTGACCCAACTCCGGGAGGCAGTGGAGGACAGGAGGGCCTGGCGTGCTCTGGTCCACGGGGTCACGAAGAGTCGGGCACGACTGAACAACTAAACAACAACAACAAACAGAAGGGCAGTGCCTTTATGGAACCACTAAAACAAGATCACACAAATCTCAAGCTTTCATGGCTAAATATCCCACTTCCTCAGGCTGGGCCCTGTAGTGCAGGAAAAATATATATATATATCAGAGTCCCCCAGATCCATGGCTGATGTCCAGGGTGAGCCTGCCTGCACAAAAGGAGTTAAAGGGAGCCGGGAGGCGTGGCTTCCTCCCTTGTCGCATGCTTTGGATTTCTGCATCCCAAACACCAGGCAAAAGGTTCACGACTTCCTCCAGGATGGCCCCCACTGCAAAGTCTTGCCGGGCAACTTTGAGCAGAGTTGGTTCTAAAGTCTGCTTCTGTGCCCAGAGGCTGTGGGCAGACTGTACCTTGGCATCTTCTTTGCTAGAGGGGGGGCACAGACAGCCAGGGTCACTTTTTAGCTGCTTGTCCTTTTGTAAGCCAGACCCTTCAGAAAGGTTCAAGTGCTGCTCCTTATAACAATCTTTAAACTGCAAAGTCAAAAGGGACCCTGTGGATCATCTAGTCCAGCCCCTGTCAAAGAGGCCGGAGGGGGGGATTCAAACTCCCAACTTCTGGCTCCGCAGCCAGAGACCTAAGCCACTGGGCTATCTGGGCAATTAAATTACTGAACTCTAATTTGAATGTTTCAGATCATCATCATCACCGTAGGGGAGTCAAACTCCCAAACTCTCCCTGAAGCACTGAGCTATTCTGGAAGTTCAAAGCTCACACTGGACTGTGTAACAAATAGTATCATCATCATCATCATCATCATCATCTTAGAACAGCAGAGCTGGAAGAGACCCTATATAGATAATCAAGTCCTGCCCCTGTCAAGGAAGCAGATTCACAACTTCTGGTTCTGCAACCAGATGCTTAAACCACTGTTTAAACTAGCAGCTTTTAAAAGCTCAGCCCGCCTCCCCCAGTACCTGTGCTGCCACACACACCCCGTCCTAGCCAATCTAGAAAGACAATGTCTGGGTAAATTAAAAGAAGGGCAATTAATTTACTCAGCTGTGAAAAAACAACAACACTGTCCACACTTGTTAGAGGCACTGAGGAAGCCGGGATGTGAAAGCCACCACTGCTCACCTGCTGGGGGAGACGGGGTGCCGTAGCATCCTTTTTCAAGAGATGGTCCACCAGTAGTTTGGAGATGGATGTTCTTCCAATCTGGACTAAATTCTGGGGTTCCCAATTGCCTGACTGGCTGAGTTGCAGGAAAGAATCCAGGGGTGGTGGTGGTGTGTACTTCCTTTTCTCCAACTCCCTCTGCAATTCCTAACGCCTCGGGGCAGAGGAGGAAATAAACAGATCCACTCAAATCAGTCCAGCAGGCAAAGAAATCAATCAAGAGACCCTTTGGTTTCCTCTTGGGAAAAAGGCCTCCTTCCTTATTTGCTCAATATCCTGCCTCTTCTTTATTTCAGGAAAAAAAATCAGGATAAGGCCACATGGTCCCCCCCACAAAGATTTTGGGACTTCAATGAAAGCCATTTTCATTGAACTACCCAGGAGAACTTGGTTCACAGCCGGGAGAAGATGAATCTATCACCAAAAGCTCCCTTTAATTTTTGTTTTATTTTCTTAACAGTCCGATAAAAGTATCACCTGCTCCCGGCTTATCTTATTTGTTTGTTTGTTTTATTTGCATTCTGCCTTTCTCTCTGTAAAGGTTAGTTCTAGTCTCGCTGGTCCTTGACTGTAATAAAGGTATCCTATCTCATCAAGGGACCATAGGTGGGTCACTATTTTCAAAAGAATAGAATTTAAATAGATAGATAGATAGATAGATAGATAGATAGATAGATAGATAGATAGATAGATAGAAGATAGATAGATAGATAGATAGATAGATAGATAGATAGATAGATAGATAGATAGATAGATAGATTTTCCGAAAAGGGATCCAACTGCATGCTCATCAAAATACAATTGAAGAATTTAAAGCAAGCAAACATTTAAAAACTGTCTTAATTTTTAAAAAGCATTGAAGGACTCCACCATGATGGTTGATTGGGTGTTTGTTTTATAATAAATTGATTTAAAACACACACATACATACACAGAGAGAGAGAGAGAGACAGAGAGAGAGAGAGCATCCTGTATAACAAAAGTGTCACCAGGCGTTGAAACACCCCTTGAATTGAAGTGGTTTGAAGACTATTTAGAAGGATGTAATTTTGGGCCCGAGCTGCCTTCTGCCTTTTAAAGGAGAAGTGCTGGATCAATAAGTATCTTAAAAGTGGCTGTGATAACGGAAGCCTTCTAGATTCGGAATTCTGTCTGGTTTATTTATTTATATTTAAAATGTTTTCGTCCCGACTTTCTCCTTCCAAGGACCCAACGCGGCTGCCTAACCAAGAGACGAACACGAGAGTCAGCAACTGCGGAGAATCTTTGCGCTAAAGGAAGAGGGAAAGTTGAAGCGTTGGGGGGGCGGTCGTGGATCCCACGGGGGGGATCCCCTCTCCGCCCCGTGCGATGGATCCCCAGGTTGCAGGATGAAAAGGTTGCAACGCGGCAGCCAGAGGCTGCGGGGGCGTAGGCGGCAAGGAAGTAGGTGGGATTTACTCCCGAGTAAAATTCATACCCTGGAGATGGCTTTGGGAGAATTCGGAGTTGCCTTGAAAAAAACAAAACCGAAATCGGAATTTCTGCGCCACAAACTGTCTTCAAGCTCCTTCACTTTTATTTTCTCCAAGGTGTCACGCGTTCGTTTAAATTGAATTCGATGATATTGTTTAATTGAATTATATTAATTTAAATGGAATATTCAAAGATTCCCAGCGTGAGCACCTGTCCTTTTTTCCTTCCCCATGCCGTGTGAAAGCTGTGCTTTGGAAGAAGTCGCAAGAATCTCTTTAATGACTCGATTTTGAACCCGAACTACCGGGGTGCGAACGGGGGAGAAAGCTTCTTATTTCTTAATTTCCTTTCAAATATTTTTGACCCGCCTGTTTTCAAAAGGACTCCGCTCCCTGAGGTCCCGGAGTTCAAACCGTGTTTTTTTTTTGGGAAAAAAATATATTAAAAGCTGTCGGGGCTGCCTTGCAACCCCAGACGTTTCTGGCTTCTGGGCTGGTTTTCGGAGTCCAGAAAAGTTTTCGAAGAGGCAGCGGGCGTTCGTCTGTTCTCTTATACCAAGCCAAAAAGCAAACAAACAAAAAAACACCGAATAATGAATAAACAAAAGCCGAGAAGGCGAAAACCCGGGGGGCACCTTAAAGGCTTAACTGCTGTATTTCCATGCGAGCTGGCCTCGAGAAGGTTTCTCGATAGGCGGCCCAAGGCAGGAGGAAAGGGAGGGAAGGAGGGAGGGAGGATCCTGCCCTCCGGAGGCGGGAGGGGGGCCACACGCGTGATGGGGGCTGAACCCTCCTGGATGGGCGGACGGGGGCCGAACCCTCCTTTCAGCACCAGGGACAGCTCCCCGCCCCTCTCGGTGCGCCAGCGGCTTTCTCAGCCTTTGTTATGTTAAGGAAGCTTGGCGAGGAGGAGCGCCTGGGGCTTGGTTTCAGCCAAAACATGTGAGATGTGAAGAGATTATTTGTTCTGTTCTAGAAAAAGGATATGAAAACAGAGACGGCTGCTCAAAACATGGAGGAAGAAACTTGTAATAAAGCAAAAAATTGGCAATGCTTTCGGCCGGAGTCCAGGTAAGGGACCCCCCCTCCCCTCGGGCCCCTTTCTCGTTCTCTCCATCCAATCCCCCCCTTCAAAAAAAGCGAGTCCGTTGGGTCGCCACGCGTCGGACGGGGGCCATCTGGTTGCCAGCCGGGCGCAGCCGCCCCGTCGGGAGGCGCCGCCCGAGCCAGGGCTGGGTGGGTGGAATCGGGGGCCAGGGTCCTTATTCCGCGGGGATCGGGGCAGGGGGGAGT